CTATTATTGAAGCCTTGATGTTTATATATCCCCAAATATCATCAAATCCAATAATAAATAAAACACATTTACAAATTCCAACAGTTACACATACGTATATTCAAAAGTACTAATAGGGTCTTTTCCAGCTGCCTCTAACATATATATATTTTTTTCATTAATCCAGAAAACATTCTGAGATATATTTTGCCATACAGCATCATTATGGCTTATAAGAAGAACCTAAATATTATAAGCGTGGAAACACAGGAATGGGGAACTAGAAGAGACCCTAGAGATTAAGCTTAAGAATTCGCACTGGTCAGGATACCATCATATCTTGCCTAGGCTACTGGTATATGTTCACAATCAATGTTCCATAACCTATCTGTGAATTCCCATCACCTATCTATCTGGCAAAGGCCTGCTCAGTGGTTAATCATCAAATTATTGTGCCCCTAAGGCTTAAAGAACAAAAGCCCATTTCCTCAGTGTAAAGTTCACCTTACCACCTTCACCCAAAAGTCCCAACCCCACACGCCGTGCTTTCAACACAGTATGCACTTCACTCTCCCAACCATACTTTGCTAATGATGCTCTCTGCCTAGAATGTTTTCTTTCTTTCTTCTTCTATTGAAATTCCACTTAAATTTCAAGGCCCAGCTCAAATTATATCACCTCTGGGATCTCCATTTGCCCTACTCAAAATCAACTATTTCCATTTTCTGCTCCTATGGCTTTTTAAAAATATCTGTGCTAACATTTAATATAACTTGACTAAATGTAGTGTACCTCTTCCTCTCTCCCTCACTAGATGATGAGTTCCCTGGTGCAGGGAAAAGATCTTATTCATTTCTCTCTCTCTAATTTAGTATAGTATCTTGCACATAGTGGGTACTCTACAAATATAAACTAAATGAAGTGAGAGATCCATTCTCTCCCAAAATAGAAATAATTTGGTTTAGAATAGAAAATTAAAAATAATTTTCTCTAAAACTCTAAGAATAAGTAATTCAAATAGAAAGTATAATTTGATGGTACTTGCACATAATAAATATTTGCACATTTAAATATTACAGGTGGGGCCAGCCCAGTGGCGCATTGGTTAAGTTTGGCTTGCTCCACTTCAGCGGCCCAGGGTTCACAGGTTCGGATCCCAGGCGAGGACCTACACCACTCATCAAGCCATGCTGTGGTGGTGCCCCACAAAAAAAAATAGAGGAAGATGTGCACAGATGTTAGCTCAGGGCCAGGCTTCCTCAAACAAAAAGAAGACTGGCAACAGGTGTTAGCTCAGGGCCAATCTTCCTCACCAAAAATAAAATAAAATAAATAAATAAATAAATAAATAAATTAGTATAGGTATCAGAACTAGTATATTTTAAAACTTCTTTCTGTTTAGCAAACCGAAGAAACTTTAAACTCCCATGTTAAACATTTTCTTAAAACATAGACCAGTAATGCTTTACAAAGCATTTAGGGAGAACAGAGACAGGAGCTCTGGAAACCCCCTGCAGTAGGAGGAATTTCTCAGCGGTTTTGGAACACTGGGTCTAAGGGCTTTGAAAATAGGTCTTAGAAACAATGAGCTGCTCCTTCTGGAATGCACCTAAGTGAGCAGCAAACAGCAGCAGAAAGCCGTGCCCTGGAGCTCAGAAAGCTAGGGCAGCAGGGTTCAGGTTCACTGGAGCCAGAGCCTCCTGCTGATTTCTTACTGATCCTGCCACCTATTGATCAAATTATGAATCAAGGCACTGCAAGTGACAAGGAACTTCAGCTGTTACAGTAAAGCCAATCGATAGTTATTAAGTGTTATTAAAACAAGTGGCAGTTTTGTATCATTAAAATTTGTTTTGGCTATATTATGCATGTCTGGAATATGCAATGATGCTTAATTGTTCCTTTAAATGTCCCTTCAGAAGTAAATCTTAGTAAAAGTAATGGTACTGATGGTGCTCTGATTCGTACTCCAGTATAAAAATTAAGATAGTAGAAGTATGGGCCGGCCCTGTGGCTTGGTGGTTAAGTGCGCGCGCTGCGATGCTGGTGGCCCGGGTTCGGATCCCGGGTGCGCATCGAGGCACCACTTCTCCATTCATCCTGAGGCCGAGTCCCACATACAGCAACTAGAAGGATGTGCAGCTACGACATACAACTATCCACTGGGGCTTTGGGGGGAAAAATAAAATAAATAAAATCTTTAAAAAAAAAAAAAAAAGATAGTAGAAGTAGTATCATATAAAAAATTCAGAGAATCAGAGTTAAGAGGAATGGAAATACAGTATTCTCAGCAGTGAGTACATGAGAGCCTTTATATGATTTTCATTTAGTTTTATTTTGGCTTGATTAGGTTTTAGCAGCCGCAGGAAGAACTGCTTCTATTGTAACTGATTGGCTCTACCAAGTGCTGCTCAGAAGAGCAGGAAATTCTCTTGCTGAATTAACAGTTGTATTAAGTGTCAATAACTAAAAGAAAACACACACATACACACAGCATCATGTTAAACGAAAGGGAAAGGAGAATTAATATTTATTAAGTGCCGGTTATACCAAGCACTGTGCTGGGTGCTTTAAATATATAACCTTATTTAATTCTCACAACACTACTAGGTAAACATTAGTCTACTCATTTTATGGATGAAAGAATTCTGTCTCAGAGGTTACAAGTATCACAGCTGGAACGCAAATATGTGTGACTCCATTTCCTCTGGCTTTTCCCACTATAGCACACTACCTTTAGAAGCTCTCTAATGGGTTTTATACTTACTTCTTTCTCTCAAAACGACATTTCCTTCATTTGTAAAAGAGACATTCTGGACTTCATCACTTCTAAAGTCCAGACTAACTCTAAAATTTTATGAAACCGGGCTGGCCCCGTGGTTTAGCGGTTAAGTGCGCGCGCTCCTGTGCTGGCGGCCTGGGTTCGGATCCTGGGGGCATACCGATGCACCGCTTCTCCAGCCATGCTGAGGCCGTGTCCCACATACAGCAACTAGAAGGATGTGCAGCTATGACATACAACTATCTACTGGGGCTTTGGGGGGAAAATAAATAAATAAATAAAATCTTTAAAAAAAAATTTTATGAAACCTATGATTCTTGTGGGACTCAAAACAAATATATCAATAAGGAAAAGAGCAACCACTTGATACAAAATGCTCAAAGAACTGGAGGGAGAATTTCACAGAAAAAGAAATTAAAATTGCCTATGAAGAAAAGACATGCTGCTCAACTTCACTCCTAATTTAAGAAGTAAAAATTATAACATGGATGATCTACCATTTTCACCTCTGAGATGGGCAAAGGTTGTAAGGAAACAGATACTCATTTATATTTTAAGTGGCACTATAAAGGGACACAAACTCTTTGGAAGGCAATTTGGTAACATCTATCAAAATTACAAACATTCACAGCATTTTATCCAGGAATTTTGCTTCTAGAATTTATTCTACAGATAGATTCTAGGTGCACAAAAGTATATGTAGATACATGTTCACTGCAGCATTGCTTGAAACAGCAAGACTGAAACTAATCTAAATATCCATTAATGGAGGATTGGTTAAATAAATTAAGATAGGCCCATACCACAGAATTCCATGCACTATGTAAAAAGAACACAGTAGATAAACACAAGCTATTATGGAATAATACCCAAGTACATAAAGTGAAAACAGCAAGACGTAAAAAACAAAACACGATAAATACGCATCTTCTTCTAGAGGCATAGACTATTTCTAGGAAGCAATGCGAGAAATACAAGTAAGAGTGGTTTTCTCTGCAAAAGAAGCTGTAAGTCTGGGATTAAAGGAATATGTTTATCATGACTTTTTTTAACTATATGAATACCTTGATATAAGCATGTTTCACTTCTTCAATTTAAAAAAGTAATTATAACAAATAGTCTCTGGAGTAATTGAAGAACCCTTTAAATGTGAAGTCTACCACAGCAAATAAGAAGGAAAATAAAAAACTAATGGCAGGAATTTTTTAAATTGTCAAAATTCTTCAGAATAATCTCATCACCCCAGATTTGTGTGTGTGTGTGTGTGTGTGTGTGTGTGTGTGTGTGTCAACTTCAATCTACAAGGAACAACAAATACAGCACAAGCACCTCTGGTGTGCAAGATAGAATAGAAGGGCTGAAAAGGAATAATTTTCACCTCTCTCTCTCTCTCTGAATCTTCCAGAATTCACATTCTCACATTCTACGGCATGTTGTGACAAATCAGACAAATGAATGGTAAAGGTGCTAATTCCAAGGGCGTGAGAGTATGGAATGTATCAATTTCTTAGCTGTAAAGACTCATTCAGACTGAAAAAATCTTATGCTTAACTGAACTATCAATTCTACAATAATTAGTAAAATAGTAATGTTAAAATAAAATACCAAAAATTCACAGTAATTAATGATGAGATTGAGAAGTTACCTATATAGTATCAAAATGATGTGTGAAATTCACAAGAGGTTAAGGATCTAATCATAAACAAAGCACTCTATTATCAAATCAGTAAAATACACTTATTAGGTACTAGATTTTGATATTATTCCAGAAAATCTGCTTACAGAAAAAACTATAAAATTTCCTAGGAAACCAAATTAATAAGTAGTACCAATGTTAAAGACTATTTAAACACTATGGCACCAATCTTACTCCAATTTCATGAAAATTTTTGAGCCATTAGTATTCTGTTACATTATTTTCTCTTACAAGGTGAATCAACAAATTCATCTCCTTTGCTTCTCAGTAAAAATGATAACTTTATAATAGAGGGATATAATCCAGGTATTAAACTATAAAAATAAAACTCATATTTTCAGGTGAATAATAATATTTATACAAAAGAAAACTAAAAGGAAAAAGAGCAATCCTTCTTTAGTTGCTGGGTAAAACATAATCTATTTGTTTGACTCTGTCCAGCGTGGAAGGATTACACGTGCATAAATTACTAGAAATTTTTAGCAAAGCAATGAATTCAATATATCAGAGTAAGAAATTTACATTTAAAAAAATAAAATGTACCTTTTAGTTGGGTAGCAAAATTCAGTGCCAATTTTGCAAAGAGATCTGGATTTTCAAACTTGTCCTCCTTAACTTTTAACCAGACACAGTTCTCAGATAATTCTCTGGGTTCAATCTGAAACAAAAATAACAAAGATAAGTTTCTAAATTAACTTCGTATTTAATTTTTCAGAGAATTCACTGTCACCAAGGTTGAATCACATTCCCTTTATTCATCTACCTACTAAATCAACTTTAGGATCTATAAAAAATAACACTTTTTAAGTAAATGTTTATTGGGAAAGTCACAGAATTCTACTGGTGTACAGAAAAGGCACCTGATAGCAATAGGCCATATAGCAAACTATATTTTAAAAAACCTTGTACCGGAAGGATTCTTAAAAATAATTTAGTAAATCCCTCCTCCAACTCATACATATTCTTCTTGCTCCTGGATTTTTAAAAATAAGGAAACTGAGATTCAGAAAAGTAAACTCCTCATGTTCACTGACTAGGTTGAAGGCAATAACCATAATAACTGACACTCACATATCTCCTACTATGTTTGGGTACTGTTTTAAGTGATTCCCATATATTAACTCATCTAATCTAATCTTCACAATAATCCTTTGAAGGATGACCTATTATTATCTCCATGTTAAAGATGAGGAAACTGAGCCCCAGAAAGGTTAAGTGGCTGCCCAAGCCAGTAAACGGCAAAGATGGAATTTAAACCCAGGCAGTGCAGCTCCAGAGAATTGCGTTCGTACCTACTACACTGAAACCCAAGATTAGAACTGCTGATTTTCCAGTACATCATGATGCTTTGTGATATGTAAGTACCATTACACTGTGCACTTAACTGCTAAATTAACATTATCATTACATTTAAACACATAGATAACTGGGCCAACAGCTTCTGGATCTTACAGTTTGGTGGATTGTACCTAAAAAAAATAACTTTTCTTCACAAACCATTTACACCATATTTACTCTTATGAACAAAGCATAATTATATGCTTAACTTTAAAATTGATTTAACCATTATTCTGGTCAAACCAATTTACTATGTAGATACTGTCAAATATCACTGTAAGTATGTTCTTGGATAAGTCATTTCCCCAAATGGTGGTCTGGGTAATTGTATTTTCATTAGAGGATTAGTTCCTAGTGAATGGAGACTGTGTCAATCTTGATAATAAGCTTTTCACAAGACATATTATTTGACAGTAATAAAGCAAAATAACACTCAAAAGAAAAAACTTTCATACATCATATCAAAAAACAATTAGCTTATGTCACTATTGAATCCTGTCACTTATTTAACACTATCTGAAAGCTTAAAACTAAAAAAACATCATTCTCTAAGAACAAAAATAACCAAGATGAAAAGGCTCAATAATAAAAAAAGATTATATTTAAGAATGTTATAGTACTTAAAGTTAACAATGGCAAAAGAATCAAAATTATTTTTCATTCGGTGATATATTTTGTATATTACTCTCTAACACCAATTTCACTTTGATTTTCCTTTTGCCTTCTACATTAATTTCAAATTATCAGTGGACTTTCCAATTCTCTAGGTACTAGACTAAAAGATGAACATAAGATGGTGAACTCACAAAGGAAAGCAAAAGAGTCAGCAGTCATGTTCTCAAACATTACATAACACACGTATGTAGCAATACAGTTATTCACATATTAATAATCATCTCCGGCTAGACAAAACCAAAAAACTTCAGTCATAGGATTACCTTTGACCAGTTGATTCTCTTCATGGACACCTCAGGTTTATATATTTTTTTCTGCTTCATTCCATACGGCAGATCAAGTAGTGCTCCTGGGGGAGGAGGTGGTGGAGGAGGTCCCCCCAACAAAGAGGGTGGCTGTGGTACACCAGGTAAAGGAGGTGGAGGAGGAGGGAGAACTCCTTTGAGCAGAGGTGGTGCTGGTGGAGGTGGGGGTGGAGGTGGCCCCACACCTGACAACACAGGTGGAGGAGGAGGGGGGTCTGGAATTCCTGCTGAACCTGAGAGTCCAGGTCCCTGAAATATAAATAATCCAACGAGTAAACGCTTACAGTAAAACATAGCAACAAAGAAAACTTATCAGTAGACATTTGTGGTTTATTTATTTAAGATTACACGTATACACTTTATTTAATTTAGCAATGTCTAAGGGCTTAACAGTACATGAAAAAGACTTACATAGATTTTTGATGAGCATTATAAACTTGGGACAATGACTACTTCTGCTAACACACTAATGCCAGGAAAGTTGGCATCCTCAAAGATTTTGTGAAACACTCCTCCAAAATAATGAAAAATTATCTTTCATTATAAATACATGCAAAGAAGAAGTGCTATATGGTTTGGGCCTGTTAGACTGGTTGGTTTGAATATGGGATAATTAATACCAGGTCATAGATTTGATTCCCTTGGGGCCAATTGGCTATACACAAAGAGTGTGCCTCGCAGCCCCAGTCACTTAGCTGTCTTCTAATACCAGTAATAATACTAAATAACATCCATTTGCACAGTAATATGTTTATCAATGTGTTTATATCTATTATTTCTTTTCATCCTTATTATAACCATGTAATGTAGGTAGCATATTTTGTGTGTGTGTGTGTGTGTGTGTGTGTGTGTGTGTGTGAGGAAGATCAGTCCTGAGCTAACATCTGCCAATCCTCCCTTTTTTCTTTTTCTTTTCTTTTTTTTTTTTTTGCTGAGGAAGACTGGCCCTAGGCTAACATCCATGCCCATCTTCCTCCACTTTATATGGGACACCGCCACAGCATGGCATTGAAGAGCAGTGCGCCAGTGCACTCCAGGGATCCAAACCAAGGGCCGCTGCAGTGGAGCGCACGCACTTAACCGCTACGCCACCGGGCCAGCCCCTAAGTAGGGTATTTTTCTCTCACCTATATCTCACCACTTATAGATTAGGAACCTGAACTGCAAAAGTTAGATGACTAACAAAAGCTCACATAGTCTGAAATGTGATCAAGATTTGAATATGGTTCTTCTCATACCTAATGCAGTCCTCTTGCCACCTTAGCAGACTGCCTCCTCACGAATGGGGTCATTTGCCATGAGGGGAATTATTTACACAGATTGGATTATGAGGAGAGTATAACTTATTTCTACTACAAGAAAGTAACTTCAAGCTCATTCTCTAGATAATGGATGACAGATGAAGGAGAACACAGCATTCCATATTGTCTACTTTTTTGATGATTAATCTGTACTTGTTTTTTTAAACCATTACTGATCACAATGGGTCACTTTCCTAAATAAATGAATATAAAAGCAAAGTTGTTTATTATATTATAAACATTCCTAAGAAACTCCTACCACTGAACGGATGTCTTTTGTAATCAAGATATGATATTAGATTAACTGAATGAATGGCTTAAAACTAATGAAATTTCTTGGTGTAGTGTTATTTTTATTTGGGGAGAAAGTCTTCTTATCTTTACTAATATGAATTTCCTACTTGGACTACTTAATAGTGCGAACAAAACTTAGAAATATCTTTAGAAAATAAATAAATTGAAGCATATTTTTGGAAAATCAATTTAAAGAACTGGTCTATTTATCAGAATATTAAAAATTAGCAATCCTAAGTAGATAAGATCATGGAAATGTTTCTCATAATATTCAGTGTGCCTGCCCAAATATTTTATTCACATATCTGAATGTTTGTGTGTGTGTGTGTATACATATATATATACACATATATATGCATCAAAAGTGTTTATATACTTTGCAAATGACAATCCTCTCCTGGAATGCAATCCTCTCCTGAGACTGGAAAGAATTAAAGATGGGATTAAAATATGCAAAACTCTGGGGCCAGCCTGGTGGCGCAAGCGGTTAGGTGCTCGAGTTCTGCTGCAGCGGCCCGGGGTGCGCCAGTTCGCATCCCAGGCCGCTTGGCAAGCCATGCTGGGGCGGCGTCCCATATAAAGTGGAGGAAGATGGGCACGGATGTTAGCCCAGGGCCAGTCTTCGTCAGCAAAAGGAGGAGGATTGGCAGATGTTAGCTCAGGGCTGATCTTCCTCACAAAAATAAATAAATAAATAAATAAATTGCAATATGCAAAATTCCTTTAATTTTATTTTTACTGCAACAAAATTATAGAAAACAATCTGATGGAAACCAAATAAATTCTGGGGAAAATTAAAATAATTTTCCTGAAAAGTTCAGGAAATTAGTAATTTACCCTACAAGTTTTGTATATAAATGGATTTGTTGAATAATTTTAAAGTTAAAATGTATATCCCACTTTTTATTAATAGACAGCAAAGTTAAAGTAATACGTGTTTGTAAACATCAAATTTTGCCTCTATTAGATCATATTTATTTTTTTTATTTTTTAAAGATTTTATTTATTTATTTTTCCCCCCAAAGCCCCAGTAGATAGTTGTATGTCATAGCTGCACATCCTTCTAGTTGTTGTATGTGGGACGCAGCCTCAGCATGGCCGGAGAGAAGCGGTGGGTTGGTGCGCGCCGGGGATCCAAACCCGGGCCGCCAGCAGCGGAGCGTGCGCACTTAACCGCTAAGCCACAGGGCCGGCCCTAGATCATATTTATGATATGAAACTTGTGCAACCATAAAAAATGCTATTACTTTAACATAAGATTTTACTCAAGTTAAATACATATTTTACAAATTTTATAAAGAATCTCAAACATTTATATTAAATGCCACCAGCCTTTAAAAATCAAATCATATGAGCCCTTTTCTTCCCTCCCATGAACAATTAGGGATAGAAAAATTAAATTAGCTACAATAGAGTATTGAGAATTGAATATGGCAAATGAATAATTTAATATTTGACACAATTTTGTGTGCACTAGAAAGGACTGTGTGACTCTGCACTTTTACAGATCAGTTAATTTAATAATAAATAACCAACTACTCACTAAAGGACTAAATGGTAGGTGCAGCAGGGCCTTGAATAAGAATAATAAGTAAAGACATTGTCCTCAAGGTGCTTATGCACAAGTGGAAGAAATAAAGCAGGCACACAAATACGATATGAGTGGTCTACAAAAGTGATATAGAAGTTCAGAGAAATTCCCTAACCAAGTTTTTGGCGAAGCTTTCCAAAGCATGTCTTACTGAGCCTATCCTTAAAGGATTATTTCGTAGGCACATATGAGCAAGGGAGGGCATTTCTGACAGAGAATAACATAATTTAGCATTTCTCAACTAAGTTCCATGAAAACACTATTTTCCAGGAGATGTTCATAGGTGGTCTGAGATAAAAGGTTCTGTGGTAAATGAGTTTGGGAAAGCTGTACGAAAAAGAATTAGACAAGTTTCTTCAATGTAGCACATCTCAGACCCTTTAATATGCTAATGAATATTGTGAATATCCAAGAGTAAATTTATTGTACCAAATTTATTGGACCACAGAATGTTTTCCTCATGACAAACCTATTAGCATGTCTGTAACTAATGTCTGAGAAATGCCGGCAGAAGGAAAAGTGTGGAGACAGTAAATTCTAAATGTGAAGGGAGAAAAGGTGACTTAACTGCAACAGAGGCTGCAGTTAGGGTAGCAGTCAGGGACCAGGCTGCAAAGGGGAGATGAGATAAAGGAGCCCAGGATAGAAGGCCTTCAAATTCCTGGTAAGCAGATTTTTATTTAATCCTGAATGCAACGGGCAACCACTGAACATATTAAAGCCCAGAGTGACAATAATCAGGGCAGTGTTTTAAGAAGATTAATTTGCCACAGACATAAAGGATAAATTTGAGGAGGAAGAGACTACAGGCAGGGGGAAAAGTTAGGAAATAATTGTAATATTCCAGGCAGGAGGTAATGAGAGAGTGGCCCTGGAGGATTCTGGGTTTTGATGCAAGGGAAAAAAGAGTCGGAGAAAGAACTGACATAAAACAGTGACCAGCTTAATTTGTCAGGTGGTGGGGCAGGGAAAAGGCAAAGAAATTCCAGCTTTACTATCAAAAAAATTGGTGGTAAAATTTAAACAAGAATGGAGGCCAACCTGGTTTGAGGAAAGAGAGTGACTACAAATAACGGGTTTGATTTCAATATGGGGAGAGCTAATCAAGAGCTGGAAATATACGACAAACTCCGGAGACTTGACACCTACCAACAAGTGATATTTAAATTTATGTTGCTAAATGGGATATTAGTGCAAGGAGATACAGAGAAAAGAGCAGAGGACAGAACATTGGGGAATGTCACCATGTGGGGGGGCAAAAACATAAAGGGAAACTAAGTTCTCAGAGATGTCAAAAGGGAGGTCAGATGATACAAAAAAGGAGAAAAAGTTCAGTGAAAAGAAATTATCAAATATTACAGATAAGTGAAACAGGCTAAGGGTAGGAAAAGGCCACTGCATTGGCTAATTTGGAGTTCATTGGTGAGTTCTGAACTCGTTTTTCAGTAGACTGATGGAAACAAACCTAGTGAATCAAGAAACACCTACTGAGCATCCACTATGTTAAGAGGTAATCTTCTATTTCTTAATATTCATTTAAAACATAAAATGCGTTGAGAGTACTTAATCAGTTCTAAAATTTAGACACCATACTTAACATTTAAAGTGTATATGGGAGCTTTTCATCATAGGGAATGTAGGTTTCGGAAATGTAAAAGTTCCTAGGTTTTGAAATTATGGTAGTCAAGATTTAGAGAGATCTCAAAAAGCTTTTGGGATAATTAAAATTAATGAGCATTTCCACATTCTTTTTGAAAGAAAATACTATGCATCCAATTTTTCAAATCATCATGAAAATTTCATGTCAGAAACAGTTTTGCTGGTATAAAATATTCCATTAAAAATATTCTAAGCAGTTTAAGCAACTAACGCCTTATTTTTATCCAAATATTAAAATGATTTATTGTCCTAGAAAATCAAATCTGCGGAGTTATTTCAACTAAAACGTGAAACAGCCAAAAAGTCTGCTTCTGGTCACATTTTTCCTTCCATCTAACAAGATAATTTTCTACCATCGAACTCACTGTGACATGACACAAAGTCTATATCTTCTTTCATTACCTGGGTTCGAAGTTGCTGGATTTCTGTTTCAAGCTCTTTGATTTTTTCTTCTCTTTTTTGAAGCTCAGCTTGAGCTTCCTGTCGAGCTGTGAATTCTTCATCGAACTGCAATGAACACCACCATAAATGTACTAATATAGTTTTGAGAATTAACTAAGTGGAGTGACTCCTGCTTTGCTGAATTCCCAAGTCACTCAGAAAATCAGACCTCTTGATTATTTTCATGACAATTAAGCACCCCTATGGGGAGTGGGGTATTGCTTGTGGTGAAGAAATATGCCCCCAACCCAAGGTAAACAAACCAATTTTTACTTCTGGAAAAAAATATACAAAACAAATTTTTAAAAGGGTGGACTGAGAAGTCTCTCTTCACATACAATGGACATTTTTATTGTTTTGTTATTGAAAGTTAGGCTTTAGAATTAATCATGTTTTTTTAGTGTTTTATCCCATACTTTTAAGTTTATTGAATTAGAAAATGAAACAAAAATTAGCCATCAAGCAGTTCAACTTCTTAACTATATTTAATTTTGAAACGAGATTGCACATTTAGAACACTCAAATGGATGTACATTAATACAAATTAGAATATTTCTATTATAATCTTAATTACTTAGCATCCAAAAACTGGGGCTCCACAAAATCTAACATTAGGATGGTATATGGCAGATGGCATTCTCCTTCAGATGGTTAACCAAAACATTTGTATAAAATGTTATAAGAGGGAAAATGAGAGGTTAAATTACGGTAATGCAAAGCCAAAGAGACCATCTGAATGGTGAATATCCATTCACTGCATCCTGCCCAGCCCTTACCTCAGTCAGGGCTCTAAGCAGTCCCAAACAAGCCTGCATACATAGAGTGAATACTGCTCACGTTCAGCTATAGAGCATTTGCCCTTTATTGTCAATATCACATCAAGTCATTTTAGAAATCTATACATTATTCCAATGATAGTATTTCTGTTTCTAAAAGTGATATATCTTACTGTCTAGAATTGTCTTTCAAGTTTGCAGAACAACAAAAAAGTTGTTCACTGTTAATAAATATTCATCCTCATAGTAGATTTGACCTTTGGGAATTATAAAATGCCATCCAGATCCAAGTCTGAAGAAAGATTGGTTAAGCAAATTGGATAATAATAGTGTTTGGGTCAAACCTGAACTACTACTTCATTAATCATTTTGTTAATCTCTACTTGAGTCCCAGGAAAATGTCTCACAAAGTTTGGTCCAAATCATCTCTAATCTCTTTATATTTCAAACCCATCCGAGATCCTTCAGAGTCAATAAATGACCTTGTTTCCTAGTTCACTGAGAGGATGGAGCTTTTTCATTCAACTTCACTACTATCCGTGTTAAGATTTATGTGATTCTATACTCTCGTCCTCCCTCCCAAAGTTAGCTTCTCCTGTGTGCTTCTCAAGCATGGTATCTACCCAAGCACACTGCTCACAATTTTCCTCTACAAATGGTTTATTAGTACATTTGAAGAGAGGCACACAATGTTTCTGCTTGTAATTTAAAATGATCTTAATCTGTATACACGTAGACTATGAAACACAGAAACAAGAGCTGGAAGACATCTCACACGCCCGCTAAACTTGTCCTCTCCTTTTAATGACAAAGAAACTAAGATCCAAGAAGAGTAAGTGGCATACTTAAAGTCACAGCTAATTAGTGGAAAAGCTAAGATCAGATCTTACAACTACTGCTTCTCATTCTAGCTATCCCCCCGCTTTTTTGATTTTTACTACTTTATATGGCCTCTTAAAATCACCCAGAATAAGAGAAGTCATGCAGATAACCACTGGGAGACCATACATGTTTTCATTCTAAATGTTGGTGATGAGAATAAAGCATCAAACACTGCAATTTCTTTTTTACTATTTTAGGACTCCTTTTCCCATAATATATGCCTACAGAAAATTTTACCAGATAGATCATCATAATTTGCTCCGTCTTGTGGTGTCTAATACAGTGCTAGTGAAAAATTAAGGAGATTCTAAGATTTTCCAAGGGAATTTTAAATGTGCTATTTAAAACAAGAACATTAGAAATATAAAGGTCTATTAATCAAAAAGCGTGCATTTTCGTTCACCAATAAAAATGACAGCTTCACACAAACATTTTATGCTCAAGCTCTTAAAATCTATTCTATAACTGAAAGAGCAAAGACATTTCTTCAGATGCCCTGAAGTAACTTCAGTAATAGTCTATAATTTCTGGAGTGATAGCAAAAGTGATTATCTAATCTCCAAGGTAAGTCATAACTTTGAAGAGACAGCAATATGTAAGGACTTTATCTTGCTGTCAGAAGGCTGAAAACTGGAGAGCTTTTAGACTTGTGCTTCAATCCTTCTCCCTGCCACCAACAGAAGAGAAATACTATACTAATGCTTCATAGCGTCTAGAACAGAAAAATGCAACTTTCGGTAGAAGCTAATAAAATTATAGTATCTTTCATGAAACAAGGAAAAGACAATCTGAGATCTAAATAAAATTGAGATATTCATAAAGCTGGCATTTACATAAGGCATTAACACACAAAGAAAGGGGAACTTCAAATTCCACCAAGCCTACCTGAAGTAGCAGCATCATATAAAAATGGTAATTATAAAATTCAAAGATAAGTCTAAGCAGAGAGAAAAAAAACCATTGCATCATTCTGTTGCTATCAATAGCACTGACTTGAAAGAGCATAACACAGATAACACTAGCTAAACAGCTCACAGGTCTCCCAGGAGCTACGTATTGTCAATGAGAGCTGAAGGAAAGCAATGGGGGAATGTATTTTCGTTGATTTCTTCTAACTACATCCTTCCAGCAACCTAATTTTATTTCATTTACCACTTTAATAGAATATGGCTAATGTTTTTCTTTCATAATGGATTAAAGGTGATGAAGAGGGACCAATAGCAACCTTATCTTATCAAGAAAGAAATCAATATTCTGTGGTTATTCTAAATCCAGAAACATAAAGTACTACATAACTGAAACAACATTTATAAGGCCTCACATAAAGAAACAAGGTAGAATATGTGTTGTGATTAAATTATAAATTTAAAAATTATAGCTGATATTTTATAAGCCTTACCTTCTTTGAAAATTCCACTGCTTTTTGTTCACTTTCTTCAACTTTTGCCTTGTTCACACAAGAATCTATTAAGATTGACCAAAAATGATTAGAACTTATTGCGTTGGATCTCTAGGAAAAAGATGGCTGCCAGCCTATAACTCTACTATGTAGACTACCATTTTTATGTCAACTGCTATTAAAGAGAAATTGACTTATACTACACATAAAACATAAACTACCATGTTTTCTTTCTATTGCATACTAACTGAATCTGAATTCAATGATAGTACTGTTTAGGCACAAAAACAAGTATCCAAGAATATATTTGACTAATTCATTATCCTTTTAAAGGTATTGAATTATTTTTGAACTTCAACAATTTTAGAATTCTTTAAAAAAAATTTTTGTAGTTTATTATGGGTGGGCAAGTGCCAAAGAAGCTATGCTTAAAATTATTAAGAATCAAAATGACCCTTAAAATAAGGCTAGAGGGGGAGATATAATAACATTTATTAATTCAGGCTTCCTAAAGAAAGATTTCACTTGAACAACTTCTGATCTGGGGCAGACGTATTATGTAAATAAGGAAACAAACATCAAAATTCTTGGGTCTAATCAGACACTCCCGAATATAAATAACTGAAGAACCTCTTTTAGGCAATATTCTCATTATAACATATACAGTCTATTCTGTACCTAGCCATTCCATACCTATTTATTTACCCAAAAGAAATGAAAACATACATCTATACCCAAATTTGTATATGAATATTCATAGCAGATTTATTTAGCCAAAAACTGGAAAGAACCCAAATGTCCATCAAGTAAATATATAAACAAACCACAGTACACCCATACGCTGGACTACTACTCAGTTATAAAAAATAATGAACTATTGATACATGCAATACAACAACATGAATGAATATCAAAAGAATTATGCTGAATGAAAGAAGACAGACAAAAAGACAGTACATGCTGTATGTTCTATTTATAAAAAATTTTAGAAGATGAAATTAATCCATAGTAAGAGAAAGCAGATCAGTGACAGTCTCAGGAGGGGGAGAGGTGGGGATGCATGGGAAGGAGAGACTACAAAGGAGAATGCAAAAACTTTAGGGGGTGATAGACATGTTTATTATCTTGACTTCGATGATAGTTTTAAATGTACATACAAATATCAAAATTTATCAAATCATATACTTTAAATATGGGTAGTTTTCCTTATGCCAAATATACCTCAGTAAAGTTTTTTCTTTTTTTAAAAAAAGAACTGTGTGTCTAGAGCAAGGCAACTAATGAGGAAACTGAAAAATTATGAGATCATAGAGGGGCCAGACCTGTGCTGTGCTGGCAATGGTTGGTAATGATTTTGATTTAAATTTCAATGAAAAGGCATTGGAAAGATTTAGGCAGGGAAACGTTGGATTTATGGAAAATACTAGACTTACAAATCTGTGAAATCAGAAAAGACTTTATGCTCCTCAAATCTAGGTGATCTTAAAATAGAGATCCATAGATTTCCTAGAAATTCTTGAAGCACCTGCTAATTTTTGTGTGTATGCATATGTGCGTGTATGTGTTCTAATGAAAGTTCCAGAACATTCATCAGCTACTGAAAAAGGCTTTCTGACCATAAAATATTAAGAAGCACACACATATGTGACTTCTGTGAATTTAGAGTTGAGGAAAGTGAAGCCTAGAGAAGTTAAAAGACTTGTTCACAATCACAGAGATGACACAAGGCTGAGGTCATCGTGGGTTTTTGATGCTGACTATCCGCTCTCACCTCATCCCTTCATCTATCCCCATCCCAATGCTCTTGATTCACAGTCCACAATCATAAGCACCTGGCACACGGTACACAAAACAAATGTCTGCTGAACATTGAACAAGCTAGCCAAAATCAACAGTAGATTATGTGTGCCAACTATGGTCCATAATAGATTATAAGCCAATACAAATATGTGAAAATAGTCCTTTATAACTCTCTCAACAAAATATGAAATAACAAGCTCAGTGAAAAATATGCAGTGACGCCAGCAGTCACATCACCTGCTGGGGCAAGGGAAATTGGCTCAAGCTTTCTGAAAAGCACTCGGCCTTTCAAAGTTCATGCTCCCATTTATAGGAATCGATCTTAAGGAAATATGGAGAAGAAGACAAACATTTATACAAAGAAAGTTCACAGCAAATTTATTTATAATTGTGAAAAACCAAAAACAATCTAGATGTACAATAAGAAAGGACTAGTCAAGATGATTATGATATTCTACAAAATGGAATATTATACAGACATTTGAAGTCATATTTTGAAGGTTAACATGGAACAATTCTCATAATATAAAGCTCTATGAAAAATCAGCAGATAGCTAGATAGAGAAGATAGACAGACAGACAGATAGATAGATAGACAGATAAAAAGAGAGATATAAGAAAATGTACTGAGCTGCAAAGTAAGTAATGGTGGTGAAATGAACTGAGCTCAAAAAGTGAGATTGGTGGTTTATTTTCTCACTTACATAAGTCTGTAGATTGCTTAGAATAAGTGAGCATTAGTTTTAAAATCAGAAAAGAATAATACATAATAAATAATAAGGAATTCATCTTTGAATATTACTGTGAGTCTTCCCTGTGCTATGGAGCAAAGAATAATACATAATTGGTATTCAACAGCTGTTGTTTTCTTCCTTTAAAGACAAGACAAATGAGTTCATGCTTTAATCTTAGCAAGAGTGATTTCAATTAGGTAAAATAAAATTGCTTAACTATAAAGTCATATAGCATAGTATATTTCACAAGAGAGGTTTCACATCATCCTTCAGACATTGTTCCAGAAAGTGTAGCTAACTACCAGTCTAGGATGATATAAGGTCATCTTCTCAGCAATTCAAGCAGATGAACATGATCATCTCAAATTCTTTCCTAGCTCTAAGGTCTATGAAAATATAAATGGATCTACTTTGACAAAATTAAAAGATCTTAAGTTACTGAAATAAGCCTGTATTTCTTTTCTCAAACTGGAACACTAACCATAGCTATAGTACTAATTAGACTCTATTGTACATGTGATTTCTACAAAACCACTAAGGTGCCAGTATAAACTGAATCAAAGGATTTCAGAGTCATGTTTCTAAAAAGCAAGACACTCGTCTATAATAATATAATTTTTTGTGCGGGACATTGATTTTAAACTGAATTCAAGAGTGTTGAAACTTATCAAATAGGTTAATATTTCCAATTACACAGGCAGAACTCTCATGATCATCATAATTAACAATTATAGCGATTATCCATGGACACAATGATTTACCAGATATTAAAGGAAGTTCAGTGACAGACCTAGCTTTAAAAAGTGCCTATTACACAGAAAAGAGTAAAACAATCAATGCACACTGAGGACTGTATTACATACCTATCAGATGAGTGAAGTCAACGTCTAATCTTTGCCTATACTTGAAATCTGGGTCCATACCACTGCAGTGCAGCACTATCTGTGAAACACACTCCTCAATTATTTTGTAATACTGTGGCCTGAAAGAGAAAGGATTCTTGAACACCTTTTGCACTTATACAAACCAATTTTCCTAAGAAGTGATTCAGCATGATAAAAGAACTAAGTCTTTTTCTAGTGCTGGTAAACAAAAAAAAAGAACTCTTTCTAGCCATTATACTCCCTTGGGAGAAATATGTCTAAGCTTAAAGGTGGTCTGGACGTTATACTGCAAAACCCATTGTGATGCAATCAACTGTGAACACTTAATGACTTAATACTCTAGTTTTCAGGGAATCACGCTTGTGTTCACAGATACTTATCAACGTTATCTACTTACTCGAGCTATTGTTCCTAAAGTTAATGAAAACAAATGACCTGTTAGTCCTACATCCACGCATACAGAAATGGTTCTAGGCCTCTACAAGTTCTTACTTTCAATAAGGGATGAGTATCTTGGCATTAGGTGGCAAGCAATGTGTTGAATTTACAACAACACCTTTACTCAAGATAACTATAACAGCTTACAAAACTGGACTGAGCCACTTATGTTACAAGACCATTCCAAAGATCTATTTATGCACGTTATATATATAAAAGATCCGGGGCCGGCCCCGTGGCTTGGTGGTTAAGTGAGCGCGCTCCGCTGCTGGCGACCCGGGTTCGGATCCCAGGCTCGCACCGACGCACCGCTTCTCCGGCCATGCTGAGGCCGCGTCCCACATACAGCAACTAGAAGGATGTGCAGCTATGACACACAACTATCTACTGGGGCTTTGGGGGGAAAAAAAAAATAAATAAAATCTTTAAAAAAAAAATAAAAATAAAAGATCCATTTTATAGAAGCATACACACTTAATATGCACGGCTATAGCCTCAATTTGTTCAAAATGTCAAAGGTTTTAAAACAAATTCTAATTCTGCAATCTATCAAAGCAATTCTGGCCTTAAAAATGACCACTTGCATACTTCAAATTTTTTAAAATGTTATTTTTGCACTAAAATTTGAGGAAAATTTGGTATTGATCAGTGGCTAATAAATTCCACAGAGAAAAATCAGAAAGAAATACTACTATAGACAAATTATGACATAAACATCACTAAAATTAGTGTGCTGATAACTAGCCAACCTACTAAAAGTTTGCAAATGAAGCCAAACAGATTCTAATCGCTTTTATATGTCTTTTGTCATGGGGCTGTCCCCAAGAACAAGAACAAATAGTAATATATATTATACATCTGAGGCTTTTTCAAGTCATCATCAGGTCTAGGGTAAATAATATTGGATTATAATGAGTCCAGTCAACGGCTCTTTGGGTAAACAAGAAAAACACAATTGCTCTCTTTGAGCCCAGGTTAATTATCCCTAAGTAGAATAAAAGTGCTTATCACACATCTATCTCCCATGGATGTTCTCAGGATGAAAATGATGTCATATTAGAGCAACTTCTCATTTATTCCAAGTTACCGAGAAATGGAGGATTTCACACAAATTATTTCCCTATGGTAACTGCATACCAGTGAGCACAGTAGCCCTTTAATTGTCAGAACTTATTTTAGAAAACAACAATCATTTTAAAGCCATTACTATCTTTCCTGCTTAAAAAGACAGCATATAATTTAATATTTTCAACACATTTTTATGTCTCTGTAACATCATGATACCCATCAGTTACTGTACTGGTCTGAACTATAATAGTTGTCTAACTGACTTTAGAACTGTATTTTTCTTGGGACTGTACCTGACCCCATCGTAGCCTTCCTTTTCCCTTTAATCAAGCAAGGCTTTTTTTTTTTTTCTTTTTCGGTGAGAAAGATTGGCCCTACGCTAATATCTGTTGCCAATCTTCCTCTATTTGATTGAGGAAGATTGTCCCTGACCTAACATCTGTGCCAGTCGTCCTCTATTTTGTATGTGGTATGTTGCCACAGGATGGCTTGATGAGCAGTGTGTAGGTCCCCGCCTGGGATCCGAACCCACGAAGCCCGGGGCACCAAAGCAGTGCGTGTAAACTTAACCACTACACCACCAGGCCAGCCCCTAATCAAGCAAGTTTTGAGAAATCAGAGAACCGAGGTTGCCAGAATTTCATGCATAATAAAATATGAAGAAACAACTAAGAGCCTGTTGAACAGTTAAATATAAGATCATGGTCACCAGCTTATGAATAATTTCAGTCACTCAGAAACCTTCCTCTAACTTTCTGGTTTTCAGATATATTCCCAGTTACTAGACTCTAAAACTTCTAACTTTATGGATTATTGTCATACTCCTTTATTTTGAAGAATTACATTACTGAATATAAAGCTGATATATTATCATCATTATTTTCTTAGATAAGATCATATCTATTACTAGATAAATACAATAAAAGAGAAATAACAATAAAACCTTACTTATTTAAATGTACAAGAACTTAAAAGTTCTACCATAGACTCTTCAGTGCTTACTCTGTGCTACCATTATCTAGCAAAGAAAATTCATCACGGAGTCAGTAAAGTCTGTTGGGTTCGTTGTTATTAAAAGTCCTATCGCTGAAGTTCCCCATTTTATAAATAGATTCTTCTGGCCCATTTAAAAATAAATTAACATCTTTTAAAAAATGTTACCTAAAATCGTCAAACTTATACTCTAGGTATGTATATATGCATGTATTGCCTAGGCCCCACTACAGTGTTAACTTTCCTTTAATATCTAATTCAAATTACACAAATAGTACTCTCAGAACTACATCTTACCTGATATAATAATCATTTCTGATGAGCAAAAAATGTTGTAGAATGGATAATAAGTAATTTTCAGCAGCAGTGTCCTTCAACATATTATACAGAAGATGGTACACTTCATTCATATCAGTGGAAAGTAAGTAAAGGAAAAAAATCAAAGATTCTTGATAAAAGTTTCATTCATAACAAAAGCAGCTTCATTTTTTAAAACACTGACGTATCATTTTGTTTCCATTACTGTTTCTAAACCTTCAACTCCATGATTCAGTATTTAAACATTTCCATAAAGAAATTTAATTTATGGAATCACTTTAATCTTTTAATGAGACAAAGAGACTTAAAGTGTATTTCCAAGATCATTTAACCATCAAAACCTTAAATGATAAGTTATTCATTATATTTTTAAATTCCAGATTATAGCTAGTACCATTGGAACAGCAACGTCATTAATGAAAATGGTTTTCTCTTGATCTTCCTGTGGTTGTGACAGAGGACCTATTATCATTCACGCAAGCTATTACTCCTCTACTTTCACTGCCACATTAGAAGGCAAACGAGCGTTCTGTGGACTGCTAAAAAATCACAAAACCACTTTTATTTTATACAGATGAAATACTTACTAAAACTGAAATTATTGTTTGTATTCATTTGTATTTCATTTGATAAAAGATGGAGAGTAAAGACAATGGAACTTGAAACATCTTTTTCTTAGGATATATAAAGAGTAGAAGAAGTTTAAATGTTTTTAGTAAACTAGAAAACAGATTTCAAAAATGGATTCACTTTTCCAATAAAAGTGAGGACCTGGAAAATCAACGTAAAAGAAAGGTAGAAGAGGAGATGTAATCCAACATTTAAAAAATAACGTGAATGTCAACATTTTCTCTGAAGGAGAATTAAGTATATGATGGATTACTTCTTAGAGCCCATGTAAGAGTGTTGTGTTCAAGTCTCAAAAGGTCCTTTAAATGGCTACAGAATGGATCCAAAAATAGCTTTATGATGAAAGTCTGATTATAAGAGAAATCTATAGAAAGCAAGAAAGCAAGATATTTATTAATTGATATAAAAGGCATTTAATATTATGCAAACCACTGTAGACTTCAGTCACTAACGATGGATAAGAAATTACAAAAAATTATCCCTTATAATAATGAAATTGTTCTTCATTGCACTTATCCAATACTTATGTATAAGATACTTCAATAGCAGCATTGGTGGAAAACGGTGAAATATAATATTTCTGCCCTCAATCTCATAGGGGCATAGAAGTATACACAAATAAGACAGATACAAACAAAATATTGTTGGAGTTTCAAAGAGGGGAATGTTACTTCCAGCTTTTTTGCGGGGTCGGGGGAGAGGAAAGAAGACATCATAGAGGAAAAGTACAGCTCAAAGGTCATTTTGGTTCTGAAGTATTTCCCAATTTCCTCAGAATCCATAAGTAAGAAATTTAATGGATGTGAAACAAATGGCCAGCAACGCTATCACAACCATCTTGTAGATCTAAAATCATTTCGTATAAAATCATTGCCATAGGAAGATTACATGCTAGTTGTATTTGACTCAAATGCTTCCACTACACAGCCTTGTTTTATAGTCAGATACTACCACATCCAAACATTTTTTTTCAAGAAGGAAACAGACTATTTGGAATGAGAATAAGACATTTATTTGAATTGAATTATATCTCTAAACCATTGAGGTACCATTTAATAAGCTGAAAAAGTATATTACCTATAGTCACATGTGAACTCAGTGAACTTTTCCCCAAAAATCCTTATCCGTGAGGCATATTGCCTTAGGCTCTTGTCTATTCAAGACCATTGAGCAGAGCATACCTATAATACAGCAAGCCATTGTGCAGATTTCAATATAGTCTGTGTAAATCATCAGGACAGTCTGACAATTCCTCAACATGAATCTCAAGGACAGCATCAGAGTGAGGGTCTAATATAAATAAATGGATATGAATTGGGCTGGCAGACAAGAATTCTAATAACGGTCCACAAAATCACCCACAAATGCCTTTTTCACAATACATGCAAAATGATTTTTGTGGTTTGCCAAAAGGATATTCCATTTCTGCTCGAATGTCATTGAGACGGTGTGATAACTCAGTTAGGTCGTCTTCTTTGTTCTCATCAAATACTTTCAACTGAATATCAAGCTCATCGTTCTCTTTTTCCTTTAGATCCTAATATATAAACATAAAACTTAACAGACAAATAACAGTTTGACAATACCATACTTTGGTAATAAAGGCCAGACACTATTATTCATTTACATACACAGAAGCAATTTCAAATATTGACCAGGCGCTTGGTTTCCTGAAAGAAAGTAAATGTACTATGTTTTTCTATTTTAAAATAAAAGACCTCATTGCATTCATTGCCTTTTCTTTTCATGCCCCAGATTTTGATTATTCACATTAAAAAATTAACGATCACTTTTACAACAGAAAAAAACTAATTGCTAACAACCCAAATTAAATGCTGTCGTTTTGACTAAACACACTAATCAAAGATCGCAAAAGAACTCATGCAGTTAGAACATTCACATATGCCTCTGGCAAAAAATGCAAATAGAGATCAACTGTATTAATGAAGAACAAATGCGAGGATATATTCAAGCACAACAGTCCCAAGTATGGCAGAAAAAGTTGTATAAACAAATTTATTTTAAATGATATTTTGTGATTTTCAAGCAAAAAGGTGTCAGGACTTTTTCTCAAGCTGCATGTCTAGCCTCCTCCCCCACCTTTCATTTTTGCTTAACCTAATCACAAAATACCAACTTGGGCATCAAAGACTTGTTTTTGTAATACATTATAAGCACATGCATTACAAACCTCTGATAATTTTCAAAATAATAGTATAAACAAAATCTTTGGAAGCATGCCACACTAGAGATTGTTGGGCTTAATATATATCACCTGGAATATCTTTTAATATGTGTCCATTAAGTTGCAGCTTTCAAAACCCAAATCGGTAATCACAACTGTGGACGCTCAAGGGTGATACCAAAAGTGGGACTAGGATGTTCAGAGCTGAGCTTGAACTCTAAAAGGAAATGCAAGCATGGTGTACTTCAAATTAGGTCGATAAAACAAAATAGGATGCATTTCTCGCTTCTATTTTTATTCAATAGAACAATTATAAATGGAGATGTAATGTCTATTACTGAAGCCAAACACAAATTGATGCATTTTCTAGATGTTCTTTTTCTAGCATTCACATACATAATAATTTACGGAAAATTTACCTACAGAATATACAAAAATACTTATTAATAGGTTTCTATGTAATTTCATATAAAATATATAGCAAATAAATGTATTTATACTTAGTTTCCTCTTCACTAATAACTCGCTTTAGGTCTAGTTTTCCACTTTGAAGGGGAATGAAGAAATTTATCGGAATGCAAAAAAATTATCTAACATTGGTGGGTCACACTATCAGGTGATTTCTGAACTCTATTCAGAAAAGACCAGAAGTCAGACACACCCAATATGCTGATCATTGCAGAAACAACCTTTAATATATTTTAGAATATGGATTTTTCCTTATTCTATGTCACAATAAATTATTTCTTAGATGTTCACTATAAAACTTGAACATATTCAAATATGTTTGAAAAACAGAAAAATCTAAGTTATATACTATCATTTAATTAGCATCAGAACTTTATAAAACATGGAATCAATCTGCATGATTAAAATATTTTCAGTGAAAAAAACTAGTTAAATGTTTAATTTAGTTTTCAATTAGAACACATTATTTATACTACATATAGTATGTGAACATATACACCACAATATAAAATTATAGAGGTATAATTGCAATATCTTGTAAGTATTATTAATAATACTCCATTAAAACAAATACGTATGCATATATATATACACACACACACACATATATATAATAACTTCCTTTCAGTCAAATGTCAAACCTTGAAAGATACATCCATAAATTCTTGATAAAATAAACATTTAATGAATAAAGTTTTTATATAGCACACATGTGAGTGATATCTTAAAAAAGAAAATGGAAATGAATCACTAAAAGTTTATATTTAAAAATGTAGAATAGGGCCGGCCCCGTGGCTTAGCGGTTAAGTGCGTGCGCTCCGCTGCCGGCGGCCCGGGTTCGGATCCCGGGTGCGCACCGAGGCACCACTCCTCCAGCCATGCTGAGGCCGCGTCCCACATACAGCAACTAGAAGGATGTGCAGCTATGACAGACAACTATGTACTGGGGCTTTGGGGGAAAAATAAATAAATAAAATCTTTAAAAATGTAGAATATAAAAAAATTACTGAATTACGCTATTATTATGTGAAATATTGTAAATATGTTTCAGTTATTGTTTAAACAGACTTGCTGTATAGATGAACATTTTTGGCAGAGTCTCTAAAACTTAAATATAATTAAGTCTCTATAATGTAGTATACTTCAAAAGAAATCAAAAGTCCATTACCAAGTACATGACTGATTACTAGTCATGCAATCAAAATTGAGTCTTCAAAATAATAAAAGGTTTGTCAGTCTTTTAAAAGAGATTAAGAAAGCCTGCTGCCTGCAGACACAATTTCTTACTATCTTGTTTCTTCACATATCTGATTTACCTAATATTTTCTTAATTTATTTAACTAAATAAAAAGTAGATGGAGAAAACTTTACATGAAATCAACGTAAGTTAACTACAGAGCAAATACTATTTTAAAAATCACTATATAGTATGTAACAACTCATTTATCCCAAATTATTAAAACAAATGTATGAAAAATGAATTTTCCATATAAATGAAATATAAACTCCCTTCAAACACCATGGATAAATTAATCCATAGATACAGGTAGAATTTTGAAAGTAAATTTTTACAGAATATAGTTAAAATAATTGTCCTTGTCTTAAGGATTCTGATAATTATATAAAAACAAGTTTGACTCTACTATAATATTACGATGGTCTCAAGGGTTATTGAAATACTAAGAATTATTCTTCCCTAACACTTAATGATTCCAGATAGGTATAGTTTTTGATCCATATACCAACTATTAAAATTAGCTCTGGCCACATCTAATTTGCTGCTTTGAATATGCTATATTCTAGAAAATTAAGGAGCTCCTCTTGTTAGAACACTGCATAAAATAAGAATAAATAGGAAAAAAGGATTTTAACGACTCATCTATGAATATATTATTAAGCTTCAGTACGTGTGTAAAAGACGTGTAATGTTACTATTAATTCTAGTAGTATAAATTTAAATATTTAGTAAATAAGAGAGCGAATTAATAAGATAGTATTGACACGTGAGTACATCTAGCATACATTAAAACACGATTATTCCGGCCTTTGCTCCAAATTATGATAATGAAACTATGAGAACGACAACAACAGTAATGAAATCTATGGTATAAAAGAAGGGATCTCTAATCTTCTCATGGTCCATCTGCCTAGATTGTGTTTCTCATCTTGTATATCAGAAATACCTGGGGAGGAATTTTTTTTTCAAACCAAACATCTCTTCCCCACTCCCAATAAGATTTTGACAGTCTCTCTTCAGGGGGACATGCCCAACCTCTTGGATGGGAACCAGAGGCATATTTAGCCATATTTCGCTCCATTGTCTTAGAGACAAAAAAAAAAAAAGAAATTGAGAATCTTTGTAGGTGCTACTTCAAAATTTTAGGAGGCAGAAACATGACACTCCCCACTCCTCTCTTGCTGAGGAATCACTGAGATCTGAGAAGCAGGGTATATTGAAGAGATGTGATAGTTACAGAAAAATCTAACCGTAAGCATATATTAAGAATACATATATTAAGAACTACATGTTGCAACAAGAGGCTTTACATATGGCTATAGGACCAATGTGTAAGTGTAGCTTAGAAATACTGATGCAGGGCCGGCCCTGTGGCTTGGTGGTTAAGTGCGCGCGCTGCGATGCTGGTGGCCCGGGTTCGGATCCCGGGTGCGCATCGAGGCACCACTTCTCCGTTCATCCTGAGGCCGAGTCCCGCATACAGCAACTAGAAGGATGTGCAGCTACGACATACAACTATCCACTGGGGCTTTGGGGGGAAAAAATAAAATCTTTAAAAAAAAAAAAAAAAGAAATACTGATGCAAAATCTTAGCTGTCACTATAACCAAATGGATAACACACCATGAGACCACTGAACCCAACAGAGATTAATACACCCAGACAAAAGCACAAAAGGTAATGACAAGAGATACCATAATACTCTTTCCGAAGAGGACTTAAATTAAAATAAGAGTCACGGTTTTCCTGACCAGCCAGTCAATAGTATAAGGCAGAAATGAACGTTCAATTAGAAATAAAACAGGGAAATGAAAGACGGAAGAGTAATAGCAACAAGTAAGGCAGAAGCATGGCATATTAGTAAATAAGCAGAGGATGCTAAGGAGCCCCTGTAGCCAGTAAGTGTCCAAAGACATTATTACTCTCCCAGAAACAGAGGACCAGCCCAGTAAGGACAAGCAAGGAAACCAATAAGCAGGCAACTCAAAAGCAAACTAGAGTCAAGACTATGACATCATCTCTAGCACGTAAAGCCACAGACTTTTCATGAGGAAAGATCCGTGACAAAACAAGAATAAATGTGTTACACTAGTGAATGTGCCTAAGTTAACTGCATATTGAACCTCTATATGAGTCACTTAAAATGTTGCTTTGATTCACTGCAACCAATTCCTTGGTTTTTAAAATCATGAATTAAAGAACCATTCAAAGTGGAATTGACACAGAAATTTCTAAAACCAGATAGACCCAATCATACGTCTTATTCAAATGGGTTTCAACAGATCCAATTGTACATTTGATGATGATGAGTTTCAACTACTTTCAGTTAAGACTATCAGAACACAAGCTACAGATGCATGCTACACACTCGTTCCTCACCAGAATATTTCCCTGATTTTGGTATTTCTAAAGCCCTAAGTCCTATATACATGCTCACTGACATTTCTTTTGTTTTGTTTTTTTCTTTCCTCAGTCCTTTTGTTTTTCCTCCCTTACTCTTACTTCTTGTTTCTGAAATGTGGTCTGGGGAGCTTAAATGAAGAGATGGGTGAGATTTTACTTATCTCCTTTAACAATGTCATACCCTTCAGTTAACATTCTAAAATAAAATATAAAGTCACAGCAGTTGCATTTGTATTTATAAAATAAACGTGCTCATTTATCTCAGAGCAAGCCTATAAAGTTATTTCAAAAATGTTTTTTAACAGTATCATAATTAGAGCAAATATTGACATTCCATTTAACAAATGAAATTGTTTTTCTTTAGAAACATTCCTACAGCATTGTAACAAGAATACCATTTCTTGTTACATTTAAGTAATGTGTCTAGAATATACTAATCAAAATTCTATACATACTTATGCTGACTATAAATAAAATCAAAGTTATCAAGAGGAAAGAAAAATTTTTAAATTAAAATTGAATCTGAAGAAAAACAGTAGTCTTTTACGTTCTCACTATTCAAATTCAAAGAAAAGAAATTCCCTTTCCACATCAAGAAGACAAAAAAACACATCACTTCTGGACACATCACTAGCTGAATTCTGAATCATCAGTTGTATATAGAGACTGATATTAATGCAATATAAAAAAGCTTACAAAAGAAAATAGTAAGGCACAGTTATTTACTCTACTGCAAGTACTTTTTGCTAAAGAGAGAAAAATGTTAAAGTTCATCAGCATAATAAATGTGTACATTCAACTTACTGGTAACATTGTTTTCAGTCCTGAACGAAGGAATTCATTCCTTAAATGTATTCGAAAATCAAGCTCATAAGGAGAAGTGACCAGGGCATTTATAAACTGCATGCAGGCCACCTGCAATTAGAAAGCAAACTTGGTTAAAAAATATTAAGGAAATATTTACTTAATGCATTCAGATAATTATTTTTCAACTCATTAAAGGCATACATATATATCATAAAATAGAATAAATGGAAATATTTATTCAAGTATAAGGATGATTATGACTTTGCAATATAAACAACAAAATTAACAATAAAGTTTCAAACGTCCAGAATAATTCTAACGAAGATATGACGATGGTCAAGTAGTGCTGTGTTTTGTTAAACAATATGAAGGAATATTAAAATCTCTCTGAGAAACTCAAAGTTCCAAAAGTATGCATATAGAGCCCTTTAAAAAGATCATGTTTCATATCCAGCTGTCCTCAGAGTACACTTGGCCTCAATTCTATATGGTTATAAACACTTTTCTAAAATAAATCAAATAAAGTTATAAAAGTACCCTGATATTAAACAGCAAACAGTGATAACTTGGAGAAACTATTACATTGATTCATACTCTCTCCATCCTATTACTGGGATGGATTCACACAAAATATAGAGTATTAAAATATATGATTAGGATGAATTAATTTACTATGTATAAAAAATGAATGCAAGGAATTAAGATCAACTAGAAGGCACTGTGACACCAATACTAATGTGAATTGCATGATAAAGTAAATATAAGGGCTTGTTTTCAAGCGACGGTGATTCATTAATTATACTGACACTGGAAAATGGGTTTCGCTTCTCTTACCTTCTGATATTGAGGTTCTCTATTATAAAAAGGGACTTATTTTCTGGTAATTGCAAGCTAGAAGGGAATCTACAAAATACTAATTGCCAGGTGTTCCATACATTATTCTTGAATAGCATTTTTGAAAAATGCTGCTCAAGTCTAAGGCAACTGGCTAATAGTTTAAGTGAAGAGCTGTGCATTCAAATTGATGGTTTTTAAAGTATGCAAAGAATAGTAGAGTGTTCAAAGAGCTGACTACAAGGAGACTCCTGAAAAACACCATATTGAGTAAAGATATTAAAGTATATATAGAAGGGGATGCAAATAAATCAATAGTATGGGAATAACACATTAGCAAAAGGAAAATATTTCAAACGTATTTTGACTTAACACACCAGGCCTGTTATTATAACAGAGTTACTTTTTTCAAGATAGAGAAAAAAGACTAAAAGGTTTATTCTTTTATTTTTGCATCTGTATCTTATGCATTTAAGAAGTTTTGGGGGGAGATTAGCCGATCTACCTCACAACCAGACTCACAAATCAAAAACTTGCATGCTTTAAAGAGATAATTGAGATTGTTTCTAACATTACTAGATATCTAAATGATAAGTGAACAATGTAGTCCAATTCCTACGAATGCTCAAATGTCAAGCTAAAACACTTAAGACAACTGACTTAATATTTGCCATAGGCTGGGCACTACCTTAAAACACTCATCAGGTAAGTTACTATGACACTTACACCTTAAGGGATTACTTAACCTTCCTATTTACATTAAGAAAAGGTGTAAGGATATAATTTCAATAGACTGGGGATATAAATTTGCATACTGTACATGTCCACAGCTATATTATCATTGTATTTGCTTGAATGATCCTTGTTATGTTACAACTATGACATGACCGAACAAGCCAAAGTACATGTCCAATCCAAAATTAATAGAGAGAAAAGTTGCCATCTGCTAGGATTGTTTTTGCCAGAAGAAATTCTAGCTTAACGGCTTGTATTACTACCCTACAAGTAAAGAGAACATTTCCATAAGAAAGAAGTTAATGAGTCTTGGAATTGTACCTTTATATAAACAAAAGTATTTAGATCAGGAGATAATAAAAATAAAATTAATAAATTTATATCAAAATAACTTCACATTTAATATGATAAATGTTGCAATGCTATTAAATACTTTACATATAATGTATGAATAAATAACTGAATACTAAAAAAAAAGTTGCATCCATTGACTATAATATAAAATAATTAGGAGACACTTTGAAGTCAGTAGTTTCAAACAGGTAACAGCACTAGTTTATCAAGGTACTATTTATTGTTTATCAAGTTCCAATAGATATCTAATTAATTAAAAATAACATAAGATGAATAGTCATACTATCATGTTATTTTCTTTTTTTTTTTTTTTAAATCTATTGCCAACCCTCCTCCTTTATTTTTCCCCCAAAGCCCCAGTAGATAGTTGTACGTCATAGTTGCACATCCTTCCAGTTGCTGTACGTGGGACGCAGCCTCAGCATGGCCGGAGAAGCGGTGCGTTGGTGCGCGCCCGGGATCCGAACCCGTGCCGCCAGTAGCGGAGCGTGCGCACTTAACCGCTGAGCCACCGGGCCAGCCCTCATGTTATTTTCTAATATAATCTGCTAAAGCAATGGTCTTTTATACAAATATTTATATTATATGAAGGTAGAGAACAAAAAAGTCATCTTATCTCCATTCCTTTATACTACTACACAATTACGGCCCTTTTCAGAAGACAGGAACAAAATCAATCCAAAACCCAAATAATGGTCACTATTTACAAATATAAAATTAAATTTTAAAAATGTAATTAGTTTAAAGGGCAGAATATGTTATTACTTAATTATAAATATGAAATATCCATTGTATGGATTCTGAATTCATAGCTAAATACAAAACGCCAAACTATTATCATCAGCATTATTTTTATTATTATTAGCTCAGACAATATTAGGTGTTTTACATAATTCACCACCTAATCTCATCATAAAAAGCACACAAGGTAAGTGTTACTATTATCCTTATTTCACAGATGATGAAGCTGAGGCTCAAAGGAGATAAATAACATATACAAGGTCACACAGCAAGGAGGAAACTCATGTTTCCAAACCATATTACTTTACTCCAATATAGAACATTTTCCAGCACATTACAGACACCTCATAAACCCCATTCATAGATTCACATAACAAAGGATTTTAAGGATGGGGAAGATGATAAAGTTTAACTAGTGAATCATGTTTAATATACTGGGGATATCTAGCTTTGAAACCATATAGGTTAATTAGAAAAACATACAATTATTTTAATAATATGTAGTCTAGAATATAAAGTGGTTATCTTATGTACCAAATATACTCAATAAAAAAAAAATAATGGAATGCAAAAAAAAAAAAAAGGAAAGGTAGAAAATGGTTCCTGGAATGTATTACATTCAACTTTATATATATCCTGAACAGTGAAGTATGGGGAGTACCTCATCATCTAAAATAATGGTCTCTCACTCTCCTTTACTTCCTGCCATCCCACTCCTTACTCAGCATACACGTGCATGCAACTACATACACACACACATACACACACATATACACTACAGCTGTGCTGCTCAATATGGAGCCACTATCACAATTTAAATTTAACTTAATTACAATTAAATAAAATTAAAAATCCAGTTGCTCAGTCTCATTAGCCACAGTTCAAGTGTTCAACAGCAACATGTGGCTAGTGGTTACCACATCGGACAGTACAGATGTAGGACACTGCAGAAACTTTGATTGGACAGCACTACACTGGAGATTTTCAAAGGCTTCTGGCCAATCTCTAAAACCTAAGCTCCAAAGAAGTACAAAACTCATTCTTGAATAATGAAAGTTTCAAAATTGGTATATTCAACTTCCACATATATAAATTTTTAAGAGTATGATTGAACTATATTGTCCTCTTACAATGTAAAATCAATCTGCTTTCAAAAAAAAAAAATCTAACTCCAGAGATAGAAAATAAAGAACTATGGGATTTTAAAGCTAGAAAGAACATAAAATACTTGGGTCTAACATATTCATTTAAAGGTAAAGATACCGAAAAACCTAGAAAGGTTAGATAATTTGCCCAAGATTATACAGCTAATAATAAGCCACAAAGGTTGGACTAGAACTCAGGCCTCATGACTTTTAGTCTTAGATTCTTTCTACCACACTACAATAGACAAATCTGGCATTGCTGAATAGCATTTTTCCTTGTACAGGAAAGAAAACAAGTGCCCTTGAATTGAATGTCACAAAGTCCATTATCCAGACTCCCTCTGTTGCTTAGCTTCTTTATAATGGCTGTAAGTTTCAAAATGATTGGCCATATTCATTTGTTTTAAGTACAGCTTCCATGAGAATTAAATTTAAAAATCACAGGCAATCAGTGAATTGTCTCTGTTATTAATAAATATGCTAGGCTAGGACCACGATTCTGATTTTTAACCAATGAAAACAATTGGTTTCTGTATTTGCATGTTTATTAAATGATCTTCTTATACCATAAGGAGATTTCTACATATCCATATAAGCTATTGAATAAATGCATAAATGTACAGATAAAAACCACTAACTCTGTGCATGTGATAAAGCATCCAATAATTTGTGCCATGCATAATTATACTATCAGTATATACATATCAATAATATGTGCCACGCATGAATTACTATCAGTTTTTCCACCACATTATGATCCCTCCTTTACTATAACAGTATATTCTCTTTCTACAATAATCATCTGCATCCTTTAGTCACAGGATGCTATTGTCTTCATTCTGGGGTGTGGGGTGTGGTGTAGAGGGTGAAATATTACACAATAGTTTGTAAACTTTCTAAAGATAAGGCTCGGTATTTGTTTAGGGTTCTCTTTGTAACCCCTAACTGCCCTCAATAAAATGGTCAAAATATAATGGGTGAATAGTCATTAAATGGTTCAAATTTTATTGGCATGAGATATATCACTACAAAAAGAAATTGCATTCAGTTTCTTACCTAAGTGATAGAGAGGTGAAATATTTAAACATGAAATATCTTCACAAAATTACTTGGAAAATGCTAAATGCTAGAACCTTTTATTTATTTTAACTTACCAGCTTTGAAAACTATAAAACATCTATGTATCTGTTTGATCACATTTCACAGAGTACTATGGAGTACAATAATTGCCAACTCCAGGGCATTCTCAAACAGATTATCCATATTGCCATTACCTATGACAAATTGCGCTTTTGAAAC